CGAGCGAAGATATTGGACTCTTTCTGCTGTCATCTTATGAAGTTGTGAGGTAAGTTTGTGACATTAGATCTGTTTGAAGCATTCTTGAGTCGCTGCAGATGTCTGCGGACCGCTCTCGAAAGTCTACGGCGCTGACGCTCTACGCTATCCATGATTTCCTTCAGATCCTAGCTAACCTCTAACTAGGAATTTTTGTTAGGTTTGTTAGCTCACTTCGCCAAAGCCTTTGCCTTTCTATCATGGATGTCGATAACAGGAGAATTAGGCTTCCCACTCTTGAATAAAGCCCGAATATTCTCAAAACACTCCCTCTCAGCCTTCTGAAAAGCCATGTCTGTGAGGCCACCAAGATGAGGTTGCGCAATCACGTTATCGTGTTGAACCAAGGCCATGTCTGGCTTGGGCTCGTCGCAGAAAACATCGAGGCCAGCGCGCGCCACCTTGCCAGAGTCCAGAGCGTCCTTGAGCGCTGCCTCGTTGATGACGGGCCCGCGAGCAGTGTTGACGATGAATACGCCGTCCTTCATTGCGGCAAACTCCGCGGGTCCGATCAGACCAGTCGTCTGGTCGTTGAGCGGGCAGTTGAGTGACACGATATCGGACTTGCCGAGAAGGTCCTCTAGTGTTGGGGAGTATACCGCGTTGTACTTTGCTTCATCTTCCGCGGGAAGCTGGTGGCGGTTGTGGTATCTGATCTTGAGGTTGAAGACGGCTGCTTTCTTTGCGAGGTACTGCGCGATTACTCAGATTAGCTTGGCAACTCTACAATGCAATCTTGATGCGATGGGCCAGAACATACTTTGCCAATAGCCCCCATCCCGACAATACCCATAGTCAAGCCGGACGGATCTCTCCCAGGAACAAGCCCTGGAACCGCTCTCCAGGTGCCGGCCTTGGCGCTCTTCTCTGCATTGCTCGTATTGCGCAGAACAGCGAGCGTCAAAAACAGAGCCATATCCGCCGTTGCCTCGGCCACGGCGTCGACTGTATTGCAGAACCAGATGCCCTCCGAGGCCATCCACTCCACGTCGAACTCGTTGTACCCGGCACTAGCGGACGTGATGATTTTGCAGTTGGGTGCTAGAGCGCTTAAGAGACCCTTGTCGAACGGCTCGTACGGCGGTGTGCCCATGCGGATGATGAAGGCATCGATGGGACCGTTCTTCTCGATATCCTCTGGCAGCATGGCTATTGTTTCCTTGCGGTCTGTTGCTTCGAGAACGGAATAGTCGAACTCGGTCTTGAAGTCGGCGAGGTAGTCGTCGCCGACATATTTTGGAGTGCCGAGTGCCACGACTCGGGGCTTCCTTGAGCCCAAGTCATCTGTCCGAGCTGGTGCCATGATTGTGTGCAAAATGTCTTCTTCTCAACGACAGAGCAAGGGTTGTGGTATGATAGCAGGCTGTTGGATATAATTCAATAGTAATCGCGGGGTATATGGATGTCAGGAGAAAGAAATACGCAGGGTGTCAGACAAGCAGCCGACTGAAAAAGACATGTCATTTAGCCGCAACATCGCCGGCTGCTTTTGAAATAACATTGAAAAGGTGCCCGAATCATCCCACAATTACCGGAATTGTTGCCCGTCAGTGACAAACAGAAATACATCAGCTATCACATTCCGCCGACAAATCAACTCAACCCTTACGCCCGGCTTTTTTCCGGTGCGGATCCGAATCACGGAGGGGTTTCTACAGTGGTCGGATTCTCCCGAACCGCAGGGGACCCCACTCGGGAGGACCCGAATCCGGGGAGACCTTGGTTTTTTTTGTCTCGACAACTTTCTCTCCTTCAAGTTGATCAGTGTACGTACGAACTGCGGGGTAACCACAAACCACTTACAATTGGGTGATTGTTCGGCTGATCGTTTGGAGAGCATATCAAAAAACCCCCCATGGGTGAACCAACTGTTATCGATGATGTCCATGTAGTTGCTGATGGTTCTAATAAGCATCGGTAACTCAAGAGCCTTTCTTCGGCAGTCTCAGACGCGGCGTCTGCTTAAAGAAAGGCGCTTTTGTCACTAGAACGAAAACTATCCGAAGAGCTCGTCAACCACGTGAACTTCCGAGTACTGAGATTATACTTCAACATGGCTCAAGCTACACAAAGTCTCTCACCGCTTGGTTTCATTGCCATAGAGGTGGATATACACCGACCACCGGGCGATCCCTACAACGAGCGCACCTGGCCGTTTCCTCTCATCCGTGAAATGGCAGAAGGGTCAACAGTTTCGCAGGTCGTCACGTCTTCTAGCTATGACCCTACATTCATAGACCGTTTTGTGGATGCGGGTCTGCGTTTAGCGGCTAGAGGTTGCGTAGGCATCATCACTAGTTGCGGGTTCCTTGCACTAGCCCAAGCCGAGTGAGTATAATGCCAAACATCATTTGCCATTAACTCAACTCTAAGGAGGAACCCAAAGTCTGATTTGTGAATATGTTAGACTCACCGCAAGGTTGCCCATCCCGATCGCCACGTCGTCGCTAGCCCAACTGCCCTCAATACTACCTCTGCTTCCGCCTGGCAAGAGTGTGGGAGTTCTCACTTATGATGAGTCAAGACTAGGCTCTCAGCACCTTGCAAGCTTTGTGCCCGAACAGGCACTTTCCAAGGTAGTTATCCGCGGAGTGCCTCCCGACGGTCATTTGAGGGGCACAATTGGGAGGGGCGCCCCTTATGTCCATGCAGACATTGAGGCAGAGCTCGTCGCCGTTGCCAAAAGCTTTGTTGCTAGTCGGCCTGACATCAGGATTCTAGTACTTGAATGCACCAATATGCCCCCTTTCTCGGAGGCAATATTCAGAGCACTAGATGGCAAGATTCCTGTTTATGATGTGTACACCATGGGTCAGTGGTTTTACTCTGGGTTAGTGAGACCAACGCCAGTTTATTGGCATGGTTAGCAACATCTGCAATGATGTCAGAGTCGAAGCCTTTATGATGACTCTATGAACGCAATTGGATCACAGCCGAGTCCGTTTCAGCTTGGCATCTCTAAGTTTACCCTAGTGTAAATGAATAGTTCTCCAGTAATCACCACACTATTGTAAGTGCGAATGGATATTGACTTTTCTTCTCTCCCGTGTTTACTAAACACCTCTGTCCACATGCAGTCTCATAATAAAAAGTCGCCTCCTGACTCCTTCAGAATCAACTGATACTCTGGTACAAACTGCATGTACATGATTTCCGGTGTACCCGTGCCATCCTTTGTGTACTGCGCCTCCTCTTCGCCGACAAACGTCTTCTTCAGTCCACCGGCAGCACCGTTGGTTCCAGGAGCAACAGCCTGCTCAACAAGGAACTGAGCCTGGCAACAACGTTCAAGCGCGATGAAGAACGCAGCTGCCTCAGCCACCGTCCCACCGGCGGTGAGTAGTCCGTGGTTTTGGAGGATAATGTTCTTGTTGGTGGGGCCGAGGGCTTCGGCGATATGCTCGCCCTCTTCCTTTGCCAGTACGACGCCACCGAATCCTTCGTAGACAGATAGGTCGTTATAGAACATGCATGAGTCTTTTTGATGGCATAATTAGAACTGCATCCCTCCATAGTAGTGCACGATGAGGTTGGGAGTTGTGGCTTACCTTGGTTAAGCATGTCGATCGGACGTCCGAAAGTACTCCACGCCCGGCCGTAGGGGCTGTGCATGTGGCAGGCGGCGTTGATATCCGGCCTTCTCTTGTGGAGAACGGAGTGAATGGTGAAGCCGGCGGTATTCACCGGCTTGTCTGCACCGCCAATGCGGTTGCCATCCTCATCGATGTGAACCATGTCCGACACCTTTAGCACGCCAAAATGCACTCCATACGGGTTGATCCAGAACGTGTCCGGTCTGATGGGGTCTTACAGGAATTCTCAGCATATTCCTCGCCTGTTTGTATTGATAGTAAAGAGGAAAAGGGAAGAAAGCATACCTCGTAGACTGATGTGCCCACTGCTTCCATCAGAAAAGCCCAACTTGGCAAAGATGCGAAACGCGGCTGCCATCTGTTCCAGCTGCCATTTTCGGGCGGCTTCTTTGGATTCGGGAACCGGGATCTGGTGTAGGCGCTTGACCTTGCCGCTACCCGCCTTGCCCGAGTCCAGCGCCGAACCGAGCGGCGTCGGCGCCGGTGGTGCTTGTGCGGGTGTGGATGCCGTAACGGTTGTGGTGGTTGACATGGTGGGCGATGTGGTAGGTAACGCTCTCAACTGCAATGTGCCTTCAAAGAAGGGGAGGTGGTTTTCCTCGGCTGTGTCTTCTTATCAAACCCTCGTCCTCTCGCGATGTGACCTTGAAAGAATGAGAAAGTCGAGTAAGTGAGCGCTCAGTGGAATACCAAATGGCGGTTACTCCGCATGTGATGGAGAAGAGCGGATAAGCACAACAGCAATGTCGCCATCACTCGGAAACCTCCGACCCTGGCGGTTGGGGACGGTTCATGCCCGACTAAGGCCGCTCCTTGCTTCCGATCCACCTTTCGGCAAGATGGCGAGCTGCCGGCGCCTCCACCGCCCCATATCCGAAGCCACCAAACGGATCGCAGTGACATCTTAGCAGTAGTCTCCGGCGTAAGCCGGACGACGTAGTCGATGACCTTGGTCATGCTTGCTAGAGTAAGTCATCTGACGGCTGTTAGTAACTCATCTCACAGTAGGAAGGTTTGCTGGTCAGACTAATTGTTTTCGTAATGCTCTCGGGAAGAACCATGAGGCCTAACTCTATGCCAGCGTTTTCCCCCGAAGTCATCGTGTGACCCAACTCGACTATGCGCACAGATGATTGTTGGTTACTAGATTTCCTTGATGTTTAATAATCCATGGTATCTAGAAGTTTGCCTCTAAATTATAACTCTCTACTACAGGCTAGTTCTATCTAAGCCTTACTTATCTTCCTACTATACCCGAACATCAACCTTATCGCATCACTCTTATCTTGATCTCTTCCTACTCAGCCATCCTCATCAAGGGATCTTCTTGGTCTTTGAACAACAACTGATTCACAAACCAACACCATCATGTCTACCAGCCTTCTATCCACGCACCGGTCAGGTCCTCCGGGCCATCCGGGACCCGACGCCAACTACGTCGACGCCGACACCCTCCGAACGACCTTTGCGCTCGCAATGTCCGCCATGTACAAGGCCGAGGTGCCCCTCTACGGCGACCTCATCCAAATCGTCCAAACCATCAACAGAGATGCCCAGTCCAAGCAACGCCACGGCCTCGGACACGGCTCGAGCTCCGCAACAATGGAAGCCAGCATCGAGCGCCTAGCCCTCGAACGGCACGGCGCAATCCGCCTCGGCACCCCGCAAGAGCTCCACACCGTCCGCCGCATCTTCGCCCTCCTCGGCATGCACCCCGTCGGCTACTACGACCTCTCCGTGGCCGGCCTGCCCATGCACGCGACCTGCTTCCGCCCGACGTCGCCGCACTCCCTGGAACGCAACCCCTTTCGCGTCTTCACAACGCTCCTCCGGCCCGAGCTGCTCAAGTCTGGCTCGGCGCGAGCCGTTGCCTTAAACCTCCTTGCAAAGCGCGATATCTTTAGTGATGCCCTGTTGGAGCTTCTAAGCATAGCTGAGACGTGTCAGGACGGTCGCCTGACACCAGAGCAAGGGGAGCGGTTCGTGGTGGAGGCGATTCGCACGTTTAGCTGGCAGCCCCTCGCGGCGGCTACGCACGAAGAGTATGCCCTCTTACGGAGCGAGCATCCCATCTTGGCGGATATCGCGTGTTTCCGCTCGTCGCACATTAACCACCTCACGCCGAGAGCCCTGGATATCAATGCCGCGCAAGCGGCCATGCTTGCCGCGGGTATGGCTGTTAAGAGCCGTATCGAGGGCCCGCCGGTGCGCAAGTGCCCAATCTTGTTGCGTCAGACGAGTTTCCTTGCGCTACAGGAGGGTATTCGCTTTGCTATTTCGGGAAGAGACGAGTTTGTGGATGGTTTCCATAAGGCTCGGTTTGGTGAGATTGAGGAGAGGGGAGCTGCTGTTACGCCTGCAGGCAGAAAGCTCTATGACGAACTATTGGAGGAAGCAATGGCAATAGTACAGAAAGAGGGGGAATCTTCTGATGCGAAGTTGGTGGACGAGACATTTGTAAAGGTCTTTGAAAAGTTCCCCGATAACTGGGACGAGCTGCGGCGGCAAGGGCTCGTTTACTCGGACTATCGATGCGCAGAAAACGCCAAAGAGAAGCTGCACAGCTTGGAAAATATCGATACAGCAGACCCGGCTTCTCTCTTGGATCGGCTCGTCTCCGAGGGTGTGCTCGAAGCGGTGCCCATCACGTACGAAGACTTCTTACCCTTTTCGGCTGCCGGCATCTTCCAGTCGAATATCCAGGCCGGGGCTAGCCCAAGCAAACCTACGATAGGAGAGGATGAGTCGACGCGACCCGATGTAGATGGCTACGAGAAGGCTTTGGGGAGAGGTATCCTCAACGCAAACGACTTGTATGCGCAAGCGCAGATGAAGAGCTTGCATACCTGCGCGGAAGAGCTTGGTTTGAGTATGGACATGATTCCACGGCTTTACTAATGCCTGGGAGCAGGATTCCAAGTAGACACGTAGAGAATTTGCTCATGCTTTTTGTTCTGCCAGGATGTTTGGCTTGCATTTCATCACAATGATTGGAGAGATTGATGATATTTGTTGCAAGCTTGTTAGCCTCATTTCGCTCAGCCGGTGTATCTCGGCGCCCCTAATTATAATACCATCCTCGTTCATCGTAATTCATGGCATCTGTTCCGACGTGTCGGCAACAACTGCTAATAATCTCGAACACCTTGAAGCAACTCTTGCACCAGCCACTCCGACTCTTGCGGAATCGACAAGTCGTCCAATCCCATAATCCAATCCTGCATCGACGGCGCCGCACCACCACCAAAAGCGGCATGCATATCTCCCGCTACCGGACCCGACTCAATCGCAGGTAACGAAGTATTACCACTCGGCGCCGCCGCCGCCGCCGGTTTCTGCCCATCATTACAAACCATACTGATCGTCCTCTGCGACAGCGCCTCAAACATATCCCGGTACGACGTCGCCAGGTTCCAACGCTCGGCAATGATAATAAGAACGGTGGTGCACGCCATACACGTCGTCACCACATCAGCCTGCCTCGTCGAGTCCCGGACGCGCTTGGAGCGCCATAGGCAGTAGAGATACGTCAGCCCGCCCAGGAAGAGGATGTGCAGGCTGCCCCAGGTAAACTGGACCGAGGAGGACTGGTAAACGCGGCGGTAGAGCATGCACATCTCCCTCGCGCGCACCGCGCACTCTTCCAGCACCCGCTCCGTGGCTTCGTTGTCGTTGAGGTTTCCTCCGTGACCTGTGTTGTCCGCCGTAGACTGGTTTGCTGCGGATGATCCTCCCATCATGTAGTGGCGGTATAGCAATAGGATCGAGTGGTCGTAAGCGAGTTGGAACCAGGAGCGAGAGGTGAAGACTGACAGTGGGTGCGCCCTTGAGTAGTTTAGCTGATCGGGAGTTTTTGCACGCCACTCCTCTAGTTCATGGCGGAGACTCTCTATTGTAGCTGTATTTCCGCAGCCGCAATGTCGAGTCGTGGGGGGGTATAGGTTGTCGCTGATCTTCGTCCACAGACGTCTTAGTTTGATAGCGTGGATGAAGCCGGTCATGAGTGTCGGCGGGTCTGTATTGGATGTTCGTGAGGCTGACAAGAGTCCTCCCGAAGTCACATTCTCATCATCGATATCCAGTGGTAACTGCGCTCCTCGTTAGTATTTTATAACCAGAGGCTATCGCGAGAGATACGAAGAGAGGAAAAGCCTCACCTCAACATCGATAGAATCATCCGGAATACCAACTGGGCGGCCTAGTGTAAACGCAACGACTCTGTCAATGTCATACGCGACCCAGAAACACCTCTTGGACATTTCCTTAGTCAAAGCATCTGTATTTCTGTGATATCTCTCGGCACTTCGGTGGTAGCCGAGCTCGATACAATGGCGTATAGCCATACCAGAGACTTTCCTAAGAGACTGTCAAACCGGCATCATAATTTCAAGTAGACGCTTGACTTACCATAGACTTACACCAACAGGTGATCTGATAGAATACACAGCACAGGCTAGTATTGCCTGGATGGACTCTAGGCTGTCAAGGTCCAAGACTGCCGAGATGTGATCCAAGGCCATTGGATAGTAAGCCTGCCGACTCCTGCGTCAATATTCTTCGTCGCATAATACGCCAACTCCACGAAAGAGTAGAGCATACCTCAGCAGCATCATAATGGTTTTGACCAAGGACTAAAGACCCTATTGAATATACCTGAAAGTCGTATTAGAGCACTGCCGATCTCCTCACAGCCATGTCACGAGCTCTCCAAAGGTCCGGCTTACCATTAACACGAAGAAAAGTGTTGATCCGTTGACACTGCTCAGATCTCCGTCGAGACTCGCCTTTAGACATGTCTCTTCCCAAATCCGGAACGTCGGCTTATGCAGAAATGGGTACTGGGGATGTATGTTGTTAAAGTACGCTTCTGACAAGTTTGCCCTCAGTATCGGCGACGGTAACCTCAACGGAACCTCTCGGACAACTTCCGGATTGATATCCTTCCCCCGGCCTGCATGGCTATGCTGCGAGCTCCCGCCAGTGCTGGCAAGGCCCATGGTCGCGCTGACGATGCGCGAAAAGGAAACAGCGGAAGAAGGACCAAAGTAATGCGGCTCTCGGCCGGCCGCGCTTAGACAGAGCAACGCAACCTCTGACGACAAGGTATCGACATGATGGTCGTCAACATCTGGAGAAGGCGCACGTAATGCCCGCGAGAAGTCCACGTCTTCGAATGATGAAGGCTGAGCCTGGAGGTTCGGGGCGAGGGCAGATGGCATGTGCATGATGGGCATTGCTTGCGTGGGACCGCCGTTGTGCGAGGCGGCGGCGGCGTTTTGGTTTGCTTCACGACCACGACTGCCACCACCCTCGTGATTGGCACCAAAGTGATCGAGAGCGACCTCGGGCCGGGCCTGCTGTAAGAGACCTTCGAGATAGGCAACGCGGGCCTCCAGCGACTTCATGTAGTCGCGCGGGCGATGTAAGCCGGTGCCGGGGTCTTCTACCAGGCAGTCTGGTTTTTTCCACATTAGATGAAGTTCATTATGCCGTCTCATGTTGCTATTGGACCTTACCTCGTCCAGTCCTCACGCAGTTCTGGCACTTGGGACTTTGTCCGTCGCACTATGAACGAGTCAGTCAGCTCGGTTGTGTCTTTTGCAGATCTACTAGAAGACAGTTGAATGTTACCTTGAGCTTCTTTTGCTTGCAGCCGATGCAGGCCAACATGGTGCGCTCGCCGAGTCGCGGGCGTTTGGCCTGATGGGTGCTGCCGGTTCTTTGGCCACTCATTGTGAAGGGAGGAGGGGAAAAGAAGACCAGCGTGTTCTAGACGAAATGGAAAACGAGAGGAAATGCCCAACGGCGCGGAACCGCCGATCTGCACAGTGGAGACTTTGAGAGTCAGATATCGCAACGGTTTGAAAGCATGTAAACGAGCATGGAGACCTGTCGTCCGGGAAAGTCTGGGGTACGTTTGCCGTATGTGTCAGCACTCGATTTCCGCATAGTTGTTGGCTCGGACAATAATAGGGGGGCACGGAGGCGGGGTGTGCCGGAGGGCCGCGCTACCGTTATCTCGTGCGGAGACTGGTGGGAACGAGTTAGCACTGGTCGTCTGTTCGGAAAGTTCCTGGTCTCCCCTGAAGTGCGATGTTCTGCGTTGTAAGTACACCTGTTAGTGCACGGAGATGGACGTCGAGTTCGGCCGGGATTGTCTGCTTTCCGGCATCGGAGGAGTTCAGCTAGCCAAGCTGGTTTGTTATGAGTGGAAGCATATGACCGATGTTTGAAAGTTCAGCCAACAATAGGCGAACCATATTGTTGTTCCTCCCGTGTTTGCCTTGCGTGCATGTACTATATATCATTGAGGCCATCCACACAATGACAGAAGGTGGAATCAATTGTGCTTGCAACGAAGACTTGACCCACAGGATCCACCGCTACAGGTCTTAGTCAACTCACGCTTTGGAACTTTCAACTTCCACAGTCTCTATGGCTCAGTCGGTAGAGCGTTGGTCTCATATCCATACATATGACTCTAGATCATCTAGAGATATCCAAAGGTCGCAAGTTCGAGCCTTGCTAGGGACATTTCCTTTTGGTTTTGCCACTATTTACTACCCGACACATCATTTATCGCCAGAACTCAACTACCTAAGCATCAATCGATGGTCAGGTACTGGCTCACTCACTTTTCCCCTTCTTTTCTCCATCCAGCAAGCATAGGACTAGCTCTTTATGTCGACAACACAAAGGCAGAAAAGAACCGGGTTTACAGAGGAAAGACATACATTTCTACTTGACTTTCTATCTTGGTTGATTCAATGACATGCATGGTTCCGAGAAGGGAACTAAGAACCAGTCCGAGAAACAATCCAATGTGTCTTTCCTTTCTTTCTTCTTTGGTTTTCCGACCAGCCTGTATGTAATACCTACATTCCGATCGGTTGCGCCGAGCCATGTTCCCTGGCCCGCGTTGAGCAGCGATAAAAATAGTAACCACTACTTTATCCAAACAGATTCACCCGCTGCCTTCAAGGTTAGCACTTTAAACCCGCTAAACAACACCTGCGGAACGCACTGTAAGTAAGTACTTAATAACCTGCAGCATAACATCGCAGCGGCATGTTTTAGTTACACAACACCATCGTCCAACGTCGAGAGAAAGACCACCGATAACTTCATCCAAGCGTAGCAAAACCCCCATGATCAATCGTCCGGATAACTCGGGATGCTGCTAAGCCCTCGGCTACGCAGAAATGGGGCAGCAAATGGCAGCTATCGTTCGCCAAGTCTGAAAGCTTTCGCCATCCCACCACACGTGTCATTTAACTGGAGCTTCTGTATTCGTAGATGCAGCGGGCGCACGCGTCACTCCTGAAAGTGAGTGAGTTTGACGTGGGGGCTCAACTCACTCTCCCCAAAACACCAAAACCGCAACACATACATGCACTAGATAAATCATGAGGAAATTCTTCAGAGAAGCAAAGCAAAAGATCGAGGCAGAAATCGCCTCCATCACCGGCGACGATGAGCCCCAACAGCAGCAGCCGCCGCCGCAACATCAACAGCAGTACTATCCCCCTCAACCGCCGCATCAGGGGTTCGAGAGAGCGGTATTCGCTCATTTCATGGTTCGTCAGGTCCTCACGGAGGCCTCCTCAACACCACACTATGAGATGCAAACATGAAACTGACACACATCAACAGCTGAGCAATACCTGCGAGTACACCGTGGACGAGTACAAAGTCGACATTGGCCTAGCCCAGCAGGCGCACATTGACGCCTTTGTCCTAAACTTTGGCATCCACGAAGAAGCCATCGTGAGGCTCCCCGACGTCTTCGCCGCCGCCGAGCAGACGGGTTTCAAGCTCCTCTTATCCTTCGATTACGAAGGAGCAGGAGCATGGCCCAAGGAGCGCGTCATCGAAATCGTCAGCAGAGTGAGTCTCAA